GCTACAGATGCACAGCCCACCAGGGAAAGGAATTGTCCTGCACCCCTCGTTAATTCTGCCTTCCTGGCTTGCTTTCCCAGAGCTGTGCATGGCTACAGAACACTGTTTTCTGGGAGGAGGGCACGCACACAGGGCATGGCTGCAGCTCTGGCAGGCGTTGGGAGGAAGGCACTGCAGCAGATGCTGTTGAAGGTTTCATTTCTTTGCAGCATCATCCCCGTGTCAGTCCTGCACGTCCAGGATATTCTGAACGTGGACACAAAGCCCTCTGTCGAGCCCTCCCTCATCCCAGCCCCCTGTGGGACATGTTCCCAGCCCCAGCTGGTCCTGAGCCACAGCAGGGACCTCCTCCCCGCAGCTCTGAGCCTTCACCAGCCAAGGAGCAGCTCTGCCCCCTCCCAGCACTGCCAGGAGGTGGGTTTCCAGCTTCAGAGGAGAGCCTTCCAAGGGGAGGAGGTGGTTTTTTTTGTCAGCAGAATCAGATGGGGGAAGCACTCATGCTGAGAGGATGTCTGTGGTGGGAGACACTTCCCCAGAGAGTCCCGGTGTGTCCACGAGGTTCTCCTGGATCTACAGCATCTCTGAGAACTCCTTTTGCTGCTGGAGGAGGAAGAACCACCAAGTCTCTTACACCAGGGTGCCGTTCTTGCTGTCGTACTTGAGCCTGGCCCTGGGGAAGTTGAGGGTGGCATATTCCGTGGCGTTCTGCAGCTGCAGGTTCTTCACCTCGGCCGCCGAGCGCTCCCGGGCCTTGGAGAACACCTGGATGTCTGCATAGTGGATGCTCTCGTCCTGCTGCACCCCCTGGGCTTTGCTCACCGTGGCGTACACGGGGACATCGGGGACGTCTTCGTACGTGGGGACCTTTGGGGAGGGAAAGCTCTGGAAACTCAGCTCCTCCTGGGCTACTGCTGCTGCCCCTGCCTCCCCCAGCCCCAGCTCCAGCCCCAGCCCCAGCCAGCCCTCTGACACCTCAGGGGTTTTATTCTGCTGCTCCCACCGGGAAAACAGTGCCCTGCACGCTGTTCCCACAGCCAGGGAAGCCTACACAGGGTGAGAGGGCTCCTGGCTCTGGACAGGCTGCCCTGTGTCCTCCCAACCCAGCCAGCCCAGGAGGTGATGGCCAGCTCTGTCCCCTCCCTGCACAGCCAGGGAAGAGGCTCTGGGAAGCTGTTTACCTTCCTGCCAGGCTGCTGCTGTCGACTCTCATGCCTCACATTAGTTCCTGCAAGGGAAACACCAGCAAACCAGGTTAAAAGAGCTGTTTGTTGTTCCACCTTTGGGTTCCCCACTGGGAACAAATCAGATTTCCTCCTCATCTGCCACCCTCAGCCCTGATGCTGTCCCTGAGAAGAAAGCCCGGCCTTGTTTCTTTGGGAAAAATAAGGTTTCCCAGGATGACAACATGCTGTGGACCACAGTGTTCTTGGCAGGAGCCAGGAGTGCAGACACAGCACAGAGAGCTTCCTTGTCAGGCCCTTGGAGAAGCCAGATCCAGTTTTAACTTTGTTATTTCCTTTGCTGCCTGGCAAACATATTTTGCCCAGCATGGCCCAAAGGCCACAGGACACAACTGAGATACTTAAGAAATGCACTTTATTCTGGGGGAGTGTTGTCAGGCAGATGTTTGCAGCTCTTACAGGGGTTCGGTGCTGCCAGTTGAGAGCACTTGCCTGTGTTTTGATGTGAGACTTTGATATTCTAAAGGCACTGCTGAAGTCCCTGCCCTGCCCCATGGCACACCACACCCCCGGCTTAAAGAATCAAAGAAATGCTGCCTTTTGCTTCTACCAAGCTCCTCTGGAGGAAGGTTAAGCACAAAAAGTACAGGAGGGGAGCTCAGGGATCCCCTCCCACCCAGCACTGACTGATGCCACCCAAGCAGGGGCTCAGTCACCCCACCCCTAAGGCATTTTCACACATCCTTACCTTGCTTTTCCTTCTTTCTTTTGAAAGGGGAAGGACACTTCCTGAAAGTAGAGAGAGCACGTGAGCCCTGACAACCTCCTGCCCTCCCAACACACCCACCCGAACACCCACCCCGGGTACCACCTGTGTGTGGGGTGAGACGGGCCCAGGAGGTGTCTCAGAGAAGAACAGGGTCTCAAACAGCCCAAACAAACCCTCCTCTGGGGGTCGGGGGCTGTGGCACCCCCATTCCCTGGGCTCCAGCCCCCCTGCCCAAGGAGCAGCTGTGCACAGACCCTGTGCTAACCCACTGCTTCAGGCAGCTTTTACTGTTCTCAGCTTCCCACTTAGAGCACAACCAAACCAAACAAGCTGTGCACTTATTATCGGCCAAGCCAGCCCCTAATCTGAGCTGTACCTGTGTGACCAGGAGGAGACAAGCCAAACACAGATACAGGATGAACAGGAGCCAAATCCATTCCAGCTGTAACAACAGAGCCCAGAGCTGAGCTCCTGCAGGCTGGGGCTGGCAGGGGAGAGTTGCTGTCACGTTGTGGGACAGATGCATGAAGGAAATGTCACCACTGCAGGACGTCTGGGGGGGGGTCAGGGAGCAGGTGCCAGCCCTTGTATGGCGCACACACGTCCGTGTGGTGCTGGCCACGGACCAGCAGTGCAGCTGAGGGGCTGCCAGGCCCCTGCTGGATGGGGCTGCAGGGCCACCCTTTGGTCCCCAAGGGATATTAGACGTCCCACGTGGTGTGCATTCGCCAGTTGGTCGTGCCCCAGTGCAGTGCCCGGGGCAGAGCTGTGCCCGTGCCAGCTCCGGTGGGCAGGGGAGCAGGACAGCGTGTGCACTGATGCCTTGGGCACTCCAGTGGGAAAACAAAAACCCCAGCCTGAATGCAGGCAGAGAACCTGGAGACATTCAAAATGGTCAGTAATGATTAACCAGGCTTGCTGGGAAGGCAGAGGCAGCTTTGGGGAAGGCAGGGTGGCCACATGACACCCTGCTCCGAGTGTCTGTGCTCTGAGCTGCCCACGGGGGCACTGAGAGCCCTCCAGCCCCTGACAGGCAAAATCTGGAGGGCTAAGTCAAGGCAGAACTGCTCTGACCCTGAGATTAGCTCAGCTGGTTAGAGCACAGTGCTATTAACACCCAGGCTGTGGGTTTGACCCCTGTCTAGGCCATTCACTCAAGAGCTGGACTTGTGGGTCCCTTCCAACTCAGACTATTCTGTGCAATTTATCTTGTAGTGGGTTCTCCCTTGGCTCTTGCAGCTTCCTCCTCCACTGCCTGCAGGGTCTCCAGGGCCCTCCTTGGCAAGGCTTGTGTGCCAGAGCCCCTTCCCCCTGTGCAGCCTTCGGGTACATTGTGGGCTGCAATCAAAGCAGCCCCATCTGAGGCAGGGCCAGCAGGGTCCCTCTCCCCTTGGCTGCCAGGGAGGCTGCTGGATCAGCTGCTCGTTTGGGTTGCCTCCCTCCCCTTGTGGAGGGAGCTGTTACAGGCAGTGTGTGGGCTGGAGCTATTCTGGGCTGTCTGCAGGATAAGCACAGCCAGGCAGGAGACGGCATCTCCCAGTAATTGGGACATGTGTGGCAAGGGAAACGGGAGCAGGGAAACCTCTCCCCTCCTCTCAGAACCAGGTCAAACATGTTGTACCTCCCAGGCTGAGAGAAGCACATTGTATTCTCCATGACAGCACGCATGTCCCTGCTCCTCCACTGCTTCCTCCCCTCTTCCCATGCCAGTGCCACCCTGATTCGGCCCTGCATAATCCTGAATTTGGGCACATTCTCCTGTCCCTGCACACTGCAGTGCCCTGGGTGGTGAGAACACCTGGGGCCTGCCCTGCCCATGGTCGTGCCTGCAGAGGCACCCAGGCCCAAGGGCATATTCATCAATAATTCTCTTCTGTGAATAAATTTGCTGTAATAGCTTTTCTTTAAAGACCTCAGACTGTGCCCCAGGCACCTTGTTCACTGGCGCCCTGGGTGCCTCATTTACCCTCCAACACAGGGTAGAGGAAATAGAAAATGGGAGTTCTGGTGGGTGACACATCAAGACCCAGCCTCCCACCTCCCACCTCCAGCTCCTAATTCCTAAATCCCAAACTCCTCTGCCCTCCAGCTCAGGCTTGGCAGGACCTCGGAGTCCCGAACCTTCCTCCACTAGGTGATGCTGTGCCGCTTGGAATTATTAACAACCGCGGATGAATTTGCTCACACTTTTTAACAAACGCGGTGTTGGAGAGAATGTCCTCGGAGCTTCATTCTGATATTCACGGTTCTTCCCCTTGTTCCACGCTCAGAGCCGAAAGTTATTTCCACTTGGCTCCGAGTGATGCTCCATTGTGCCCTTTCTCTGCGAGCGGGAGGTCCGGCGTGACCCAGGAGGGATTAAAGTGTCACCCTCGCTCCCTCCCTCCCAGGGAGAAAGAGCAACAGCATCTCCAAAACGCGGCCAGGATTTCCCGAGCTTTAAATAAAGCCCGTGCAGAGGAGGGCAGGGAGAGGGGCTGGAACAGCTGAGAGCAGGGAGGGGGGGTGGCTGAACCCCAGGACCCCTCCCAGCAGCTCTTTCCTAGAGCTGAGCTATTCCCAGCCGCTCCTCGGGCTGCAGGAGCCCCAGCCGGCAGCGCGGGGAGGAGGCACAGCCCGTCGGGGCTGAGCGATGACACCAAAGCCCCTTCTCGCTCCTGCGCCCCCCGCCGCACCCACCCAGCCGGGACCCCCCGCTCCCTCCTCCCGTGCCGGTGCGGGCTGAGCCGGGAGCAGCGCTGGGAGCCGGGGGGGAGCCCTGGCAAAGCCCAGCACAAGGACTCGAAGCTTCCCAAGCGCTGCCGAGCCCCCCGCGCCCTGCCCGTGCCGCACTCACCACGGGCGGCCGCAGCTGCACAGGTTGCCCATGTCGCTCCTTCCCCCATGGAGCCCGAGTGTTCTCTGGACGGGCAGAGCTTGTATTTCCTGGTTCCTGCTCGGCCCCTGGCTATTCCAAGGGAGTGTCTGGCAGTGTCGGGTTTCTCTCCGCGGGCTGCGCAGGGCTGTGCTGGCCCCGTGTGGCATCCACCCCGGGGCCGGGATCACCCCTTGCTCACCCGGGGAGGAGGGGGCGAGGTCTCGCCTGCCCCCAGGGCATCACCCCCGGGGCTAAAACTCTGTGTTCTGGTTCGCACGGTGGCCGCCCCGCCGCTGTCCCTCTGTGCCCCCGGCGCCATCCCGCTGATGCCAGCAGTGATGCAAAAGGGGACGGAGGAGGGACTTCAAATGCTCCCGAACAAAAGGAGAAGCCCCGGAGTGGGAGCTCTCAGTGCTGTTCTCGCTGCTCAGCCCTTCGTCCCGAGCTGGATGTCAGAAAAATGTGTGGCACGGGCTGGCACCACCTGGGAAAGAGGGAATCTGCCTGGGAGGGCAGGGGATGCCCAGCAACACGGGGCTGGTAGGTCTGCTCTCATCTCCTGACCTGCAACCCCAGGGACACTAGTGGAAATCCACTTTTTTTTACAGCTGCCTATGTGAAAGTGTGCAGTGTTGTGCTTCTGGGAAGGGCAGGATCCCGTGAGGCACCTCACATCATTAAGGACCTGCAGAACAGCTCTCAGGCTCACCCTCGGCATGGCAAACAGGAACATTAACGTGCATTTTATCCCTCTGCTCCTCTGAGAGCCTTTCAGGCTCTGGCTGGCCATTCCTGGGCTAATCCTGCCACCTAATCTCAGGCAGCACTAAGAGGAGTGATGCTCAATACCAAAAGGTTTTAATTCACCCTTCTGGCCAGTTCCCCTCCTCCAGGTGAGCCCATGCTCTCAGCCAGGCTCACAGCATCATTTATCACCTGCCCAAGTGCAGGGCAAACTTTGTGCCCATCTGGGAGCGGCAGGAGGAGAAGGATCATTCTTTGGGAGGGCCACAGGGCACAGCTGCTCTCTGGGCTGAGTCCTGGATGAGCCCAAGCCTTGCTCTGACACTGCTCCTCATCACGTGGCTGGAGAAATGGCACAGCCCAGTCTGCACCACAGCACCCCAGGGAGGATTTAGGACTTGTGCAGCAGCTGAGATTGAGTCCTGATCCCAACAGGACCATGTTCTCAGGGTCCTGCAAAAGCCCAGGTGATCTTGGGGGTCTTTGGGAAGCTGCAGACTGTGTGTCTCTGGGTTTGCCACAGACACTGTTGTTTTAGTGAACCAGTGGCTGTTTTGATTTCTGGGATAACTTGGGCTTTGTTGCTTTGTGGGGAAGGGAAAAAAAAAAAGGGCTGGGAGCCTGTTCCCATCAGCCTCTTTCACAAATACTGGAGCTGCTGCTTTGAGCTCCACCAGAGAAACAGAAAGGCATCAAAAACATTGGCAGGGCCGTGGAGCGCTTGGCTGCCACTCTGCATTCCCTCCTCAGGCTGTGTCTGCAGGGATGAAAGAAAGCATGGCTTCCAGCAATCCTGCTGGGCAAAGCCAGCAGGCTGGGTGCTGCAGAGCCTGCCAGGGGGCAGAGGAACAGCCCTGGCTGACACCAGGCAGTGCCAGCCCCTGTCTCTGCAGCCCTGTCTGGGTGACAGGCTGTGCGACTGGCACAGGGCAAGGCCCAGCCACAGAGAATGAACTCGTGGCAGAGCAAAGACAGGGCTAGGAAAAGCTGGAGGGGGGAACAGAGCTGTGTGGTGACTGCCAATGCTGGGCATTTCTGTGGCAATAGTGCCAAAGTGCACTCCCAGTGCAGCCCCAACCCTGGCCAGGTCCTGCTTTCAGCCCCCAGTGCCCCAGCAACCTGCAGCCGTCGTGCTGCCCAGGTGGCACTTCATGCTCTGGCGTGTGCCAGGTCTGCACTGTGTGTGGATGTGCCCTCCTTTGCCCAGCCTGAGGGTCGTATGTTGGCCATCCTCCCTATCCCCAGTCCCACGGAGGAAGGTTATCCCAGAGACAGGAAATCTGCAGTGAGAGAGGGGACCACCAGCCTTTCTTACCAGCACAGGAGATGCCAGATCAGAGAAAAGCCTTTTGTAGCTGCTGCCCTGGAGTGTCTGTGAGTTTGAAGACACATTTTATGAGGGGGGACTAAGGGAATGATGGCCCTGCCTGAGCCCACACACAGACACGGGGATTTGGGCTCAGGAGCTCAGCCCTCCTTGGACTGGGGGTTTGGGTGGGTGTTGGGTGACTGGGATGCAGCTGCTTCAGGTGATTGAAAGTCACCAGCCCAGAATTATCTCTGGAATTACTATTAAGGACTTAGACAATGCCTGTTATATTTCTATTTTGACAGTGTCTCACTGGCAGCAGCTTGTCTGCATCCCCCATGGGTCCTGACTGAGTGTGGGTACCTGGTCTGCACCAGGGGTGGAGGCTCAGCCACCCTCCCACCGGCTCCTGAGCTGTCACACAGGGCTGATCTTAACCTGACTGTCATCCTCCCCGCTGCCAGGGGCCCTGAGAAGCAGAAACCCCCCATATTTAGGCACTGACACAGCATTTTGCCTGCTTTACTTGGCTCTGACGAGCTGAGGGCTGCAACTGGCACCTGCTGAGCCCTTGGGGCCGCCCGGGGCAGCAGCTGCCCCGCCAGCAGCTCACACAATCCTGGCCCAGCACCACGAGACCATGGGGACGTCTCATGTGGCCAGTCAGCCACCCCACAGAGCCTGCAGAGGGGCTCTGGGACACAAGGGCTGAAAATGTCAGTGTGTGAACCAGCCTGGTGTGCCATGAACCAGAGGGCTGAGGCAAACATGGCATTCCTCAGCTTGGGCTGCTTCCACCTGCGGGTCTGCAGGCGCACAGGGACCCTCCAGGAGCTTGTCACTCTGCACCCCCTGTCCTCGAGGCTGCTCCCTACAGCAGGCACTGCAGCTGCCCCTGAGCCAGGAGGTGAATCACAGAGATGCCCCAGAGTGCCTCCGTGTCACCACTGATGCCATTTCCACAGGGTGAGCTCTGCTGCTCTGCTCCTCACAGCTCTGCTCCTCACTGTCCATCCTTCCTGCTGCAGGCCAGGAACCCGAGGCAAGCAAGAGAAGACCAGAGGCAGGTTTATTCCTCTCTCCTCCTGAGAACTGCAGGCACTTTTACAGACCAACCACCACCTCCCATGGTGTCCACAAAGCTCAGCCACCAGCCCAGAGACAAGGCACTGGGATCTTCTCTTCCCTCTTCCCACTGTGGCACAGCCTCACAGTTTGGGATGAGAGTGGCCCTGGTTTTTTGGGGTGAGAGAAGAGCACCCTGCCTGGTGCTCCACGAGCACTTGACCTGGGAGAAAACTCGCATTACACTCACTCACACTAACACTTCAGTCCCCCTCTGTTTTCAGCTCCAAGTCCCTTTTTTTTCCAGCCATCAGCCTTGGGAAGCAGCAGTCTGGCTGCCTCAGAGCCCTGGCTAAACACTGATGGTGAGAAACACGAGTCTGTCACCGTGGGTTCCCCACCCCTGTCCCCCCTGCCTGCCCTGTGCAAGCCCACACCTGGGGCCCTTAGGACTTCTCCTTCTCTTTTCCTTCCTCGGGCTGCTCTTCTTTCCCCACTGGCTGCTCCTCCTGGGTTATCTTCACCTCGTTGACCTTGGCCTTCAGCTCCTTGCCGGTGCGGGGGGCCACGATGCTCAGGATGCCGTCGTGGGACAGGGTGGCCCTCACCAGCAAGGGGTCGACGTCCAGGGGCAGGATGTAGGTCCTGGTGAACTCCCTGGAGATGAAGCCGTGGCGATCAGCCTTCTGGGGGTGCTGCCCCACCACCTCCAGCAGGTTGTCCACGGTGCGGACGCTGAGCTCGTCGGGCAGGAACTGGCAGACGTCCAGGAACACCTGGAACTTGTGCTCGTTCAGGCAGATCTCCGAGGTGCCCCGCTCCAGCTGCTTGTTGATCCGAGGCCTGATGTAGTAGCCGTGGTACAGGGCAGGGGCTAAAATCTCAGATGGGGACACACCTGGAAAGGAGACTCAGTGAGGAGCGTGGGGTTTCCAAGGGAAGAGCTGGAGGAGGAGGGTGGCAGGAGGAGGAGGAGGCCGGGACCTGGCACACACCTTGGGTTTGCCACCACATCAGCACAATAGGGGTGGAGCCTCTTGCAGTTCCTACCTTTGTGTCTCTGAAACACACACACACACACACACAAACACAGCCTGCCAGCCACTGCCTCCCACCACACAGCCCAGGGCTGCCAGCGTGCCCAGGGCTGGCATCCAGCTTCACATGTCTGTTGGGTGGACTGGGAGGGACTGGGAGGTGCGCTGGGCGCTCTGCAGTGCGGAGCCCACAGCCAGGGATGGGCATGGAAAATGCTGATGGTGGAGAAAAGTGCCCTGAAGAACTAAAGGCCTTTTGTGTGCCATTGTCCGGGGGGCTTTCCTTGGAGCTTTTTGCCTTTTCACGCTGTTGTGCTGGAGCTGAATGGTTCTGCTGCTGCCCACATTCCTTCCCCTCCGCCAGCCACTGCCCAGCTTTGTGCTGAACCCCCCAGCTCAGCTTTTCTCCACATCCCCTGGCTGAAAAAACTTCCCCCCCCGCGCCCTCCCCTGAGCGTTTTGCTCCATGTTTGCACAGCATGTGCATGAATGCCAGAGCATGGGTGGCACGAGGGAGGGACAGGACACGCAGCAGTAGGCATGGATGGAGGCAGTGGACATGAACAGAGAGACCCTGGCTGTCCCCCTGGTTTGAGCTGGGTTCTCCCACTCCGAATTCCTTGGCTCCAGCTCCCTTCGCCTGCTCTGGAGGTCAATCTGCCCAGGGGAGCTCCACCACAGCCCTGCTGCACCAGGGTGGAGAAAGGTGCCAGGGGGATCCCACCTCCTTCCTTACCTTCTCCGAAGTTCTGGTCGTAGATCTTGCTGGGGTTGGCGAACTCGTACTCGGCGCTCATGGGGTGGGCGTGGGGCACAGTCCGTGCGGCCATGGCGGGGCTGGGGACGGGGACCTGCCGAGCCCTCGCTGCCTCTGAGAGTGAAGGCTGCAGATTGCAAGGTTTTAATTGGGTGAATTCCAAAGGGAGGAGTGTGTGATAAAAAGATGGACCAAAATAGCCACACGCACAGGGCCCAGGATGCCTCGCCAGGGTGACGGGAGAAGCTTCTCGCCGCATTCCAGCAGGGAGTGCAGGCACTGCCCGCAGTCAGGGACACCTTGGGAACATCCCACATCCAGAGATCCCCCTCTGGAGCAGGGGGTGCAGGAGGGGAATGGGCAGCCAGGAGGCACAGGGATGAGCTGGGGGAGGCTGAAGCAGGGAAAAGCAGGACAGACCCCAGGCTGTGCTGCTGGTGGTGCTCCAAGGCCAGCAAGCAGGTCCAGGGAGTGCCTGGCACTGGTGTGGATGGTCTTGATGGTCCTGATGGCCCTGAAGCCCCTCATGGGGACAGGGCAGTAGCTAATGCTGGCTGGGGCTGCCTGTTCAGGGATCCTGAGTTAACCAAGGCGCTGCAGCTGGCATAGACCCAGCTGGTGGAGGTGCAGGAGGGGAGCAGAGCCCAGCTCAGCTCCACGTCCCCTGAAACCAGAGATTTCCCTGAGCCCGTGTCCCTGCAGTGTGAGGGAGCAGGTGCAGTGCTGTTGATGTAATGGGGAACTGGAGAGGGTATTTATGGCCTGAGCTGCTGCACAGAGCAAATTCTGCTCCCTATTCTTGCAGGCAAGCTGAGAGGAAGAGGCTCAGAGCCTTTTGCAAAGGGCTGGCAGTGCTGGCAGTGCCCCTGAGCCAGAAATTGTGTCTAAGTTACGAGCTCTCAGAGGCAGAGACTAGTTCTTGCCCTTTAAGTACAGTTGCCAGGCTGAACCCATTCCTGTGATTGAGGCGAGGCAGGAATTAAAATAAATGTGTGAGTTAAGATGTATTAAGAGCACAACTATAGAAAATGAGCTTAGTGCAGGGGCACAGGCAGACAGAGGTGGCTCCAACCCCTGAGAGGGCACCATGAGCATGCCCAGGTCATCTCTGCTCCGGCCCTCCAGGGTTCTGAGGTCACAGTGTTGGGCTCTCCAGTGGTTTCTGTGCTGGGCCAAAGACCAGAGGTGTTGGGCCGAATGGTGGAGAAATCCATCCTTCATTCCCACCAGGCACAAAGGCTTCCCTGGGCTGCAGTGCCAGGGGGATCCCAGCCCAGACCCGCTGGGTTCTTCCCTGCCCCTGCCTGTGACTCCCTTTGCTGCAGGCAGGGGCAGAGCCCTCCCCGAGCTGGTGGGCGATGTGGGGAGCCGAGCCTGGGGCGCTGGCAGTGGGAACAACGGCCCCTTGTCGTTCTCCCCGGGAGCCAAAGATAGGAGCTGCATTGATCCCGCTGGCATCCGAAGCAGCTGGGAACATCCGCCAAGCCCGCCTGGGACTCTGCAGATAAACAGCACGTGGGGAGCGGGGAGGGCTGGGCACTTTGGCTTCTTGCTGCCCCATTGGGCTCCTTTTCTCCTTCTCCCCTTCCCCCTCCTCCTCAGCAGCGCGTTCAAATCCCTCAGACAGCTACTGGGCACCGCCGAGGGGACCGGCCCAGGAGTGGGACAATAAAATCCCTGACACCACTGTTCAAGAGGCCTCGGGGGGGTGGAAGGCCAGGCCAGCTGCACGGGTATAAAGCTGTCCCAGGCTCCCAGCACAGCACTGCAGCACAGTTGTTTGCCAGGCTCCTCCAGCGCTCTCCAATGGATATCACCATTCATAACCCCCTGATCCGCAGACCCTTCTTTTCTTGGTTGGCACCGAGTCGTATCTTTGACCAGATTTTCGGCGAGCACCTGCAGGAGTCAGAGCTGCTCCCTGTTTCCCCCAGCTTCAGCCCCTTCCTGATGAGATCCCCCATCCTTCGGATGCCCAGTTGGCTAGAGGCAGGACTCTCTGAGGTAATCTTTGCTTCTTCGTGCTCTTTGTTGCCGCTGCGTGCACGTCCTGGTGGCTCCGGAGCTGGATGCCCAGGAGAGCCCTGAGCTTGGAAGCTGCTTGTAGATGGTTATTTAGGAGAAGGCTGGGGAGAAGGGTGCTGTGCTTGTGGCTCTTCATTAGGCAAGGAGCTCTGCATGCTCTGCTCATCGTTTGTGGCTGAGAGCGAGTATTGCCATAGTGATGGGAAGAGAGGCAAACTGAGGTGGCTCTAAGAGCTGACAGAAGACAGGAAGAAGCCTGATTTCCCTAATTTCCCAGTCTGCTCTGCCAAACTTCCAATCCCACTCCCACCTGAGAAGCAAACAGCACAGGGGCAGGGGCAGTGGGAGGCTCATGTCAGGCTGCTGAGGAAAAAGGGGCCTATTTTAAAGAATCACTGCCGAGAAGAGCAGTGTTTTCAATCAGATACAGCACCCAAAGGATCAAGGAGCAGGAGTCTGCTTGCTTCAGGGGCTGAGCCAAGAGGCACTTGCCTGTTCTACGAGTCAATCTCTTATTTACAAGTAGCTTGTAGAGCTATTCTGAGCAGAAGGAGGGAGAGGGAAGTATTATTTTAATCTTTGCATCATGTTTGCCCTGATTTAGTGACGTGGGTCTGGCCGTGCACCGAAGCAGCCATAACCAGCACTACACCAACTCAAGGGTCAGTTTTAGCAAATTTTAACAAACTGAGAATCGCAGGTACCGCAGGGATGGGCAGATTAATGCAAGGCCAGCCAGGGACAAAGCCACTCAGATCAGAACCCCACAACAAAGGTCAGTGCATGTGTAGACACCAGCTGAGTGTTGACCTGCTGAGTTTCTGAGCGCCTCTTGAAGCAGAAACCCTCACCTGCTCTTTGCTGAAATCACCTCCTTGTTTTGCAGATGCGACTGGACAAGGACAAGTTTTATGTAAATCTTGATGTGAAGCATTTCTCCCCTGAGGAGCTGAAGGTGAAGGTGCTCGGGGACATGATAGAAATTCACGGGAAGCACGAGGAGCGCCAGGTACTTGTGACTTAACTGTGCAGCTCTCACTGTGAGCTTCCTCACCTCTGGTGAAGCAAGGAGGCTGCAAAACATTCCCTCCCCTCTGTGCTCACCTCAAATACTTGTAATTCTTTTCTTTATCAGCCAACCCTAATGGAAGATGCCCTGTGCAAAACCCCCCAGCTGATCCCAGACAGGGCACCAAGAGGGCGAACATTTCTCGCTGATGTTACAGGAACTGTGAACTGAACTGGAAAATCGTCTTTGAAATGGGCATTTTTGGGCCTCCCTCTTTTTGGGAAAAGGCCAGAAATGCAGGGAGGTGTTTGATACACTGACAACAAGCTGTGATAATCAAACCACACAAGGAACCAGTGCACTGCCCTGTTGTGTAACCTTTCCTAGGCCCAGCTCTGAGTTTCTAATCCTTAAAGGTTGTGTTCTGCTCTCATAATCCCACTTCTTGCTGGCCTGGGAGACCTGGGTGCCAACTGGGCAGACAGAAATCCAAAGCCATATTCAAAGGTGGATGCAACAGTGTTTTCCAGTCCCCATCTCCCTCCTACCTCCTGTCCCCAGTTCCTTGGCAGAAGGAAGGGAATACTCATGATAAAGTAGCTGGAATTGCCATATCAATATAATAATAACAACAATAATAATAATAATAATAATGATGATGATGATAATATGGTGGTTCCGGCGGCACCGAGCAAGCGCTCCTAACTACGCCTTGTCCCTTCTCCTTTCGAAGGACGAGCACGGCTTCATTGCCAGGGAGTTCAACAGGAAATACAGGATCCCAGACGACGTGGACCCTCTGACCATCACCTCGTCCCTGTCCCTGGACGGGGTGCTGACCGTGAGCGCGCCCAGGAAAGTGAGCGACGTCCCCGAGCGCACCATCCCCATCACCCGCGAGGAGAAGCCGGCCATCGCAGGCGCCCAGAGGAAGTAGGGCTGCTGCCCACACCCCCCCCAGGGCCAGCCCACAGCCCCCAGGGCCAGCCCACAGCCCCCAGGGCCAGCCCACAGCACCTGGCTCCAGAGGCTGCTCTTATTATTTATGCCGAGTAAGTTTACTAACGAATAAAACATGAACAAGCAGTCTGTATTTATTTGTTTGGGGGCACGGAGGACAAAGCGGAGCGTTGGGTCCAGGGAGCTGTGTGAGGTGAACGTGCCTGGTATCCTCTTTCCTCACAGCTTGAGTGGCAGGTGTGTCCAGGACAGCTTGTCTTGGTGTCCACAAGCACCTATCCCCCGTCACTTTGCGTTCTCTAATGTTTTGCAAACACCTAATGCACGAGTCTTTTCCTTCAGTGTTGCCAGAGGATTTCAGAGTGTTTCACAAGCCACAGAAAAGTTTCTCCAGTGGAGATTAAACTGGTAAAACAACTTCATGACAGTTGAAACCCATTTGAAGTGTGGGTATTCGATAACAACTGACTGGAAGACAACTGTATCTTAAATCTCTAGAATGACTCACGTTGTGGAGAAGCATCCAAATGCTGCAGCCAATTCAGAGCAGCTGCAGATGAAAACTGCAGAGCTGCAGTAAAACACAGATATCTCCCCAGAGGAGAAGAACATCCTGCTCTCATGATGCAAATCACATCCCTTTGAAACGATGCTCTTAGTGCCCTTCAAACAATGAACAGGATCTGATGTCTGCAGCAATAACCTGCTTTATGCCATCAGTGTTGAGTGATACAAACCACTACTAAGGCCTTTTCAGGCACCATCATCTGCTTAGCACCTGTCTTCAAAGGGATATGAGCAAAAAGGAAAGTCTGTATTACTGGAATTGAATTCTAAAATTCATCTTCAAAAAGGACAGAACGCCACAGATCTGTCACACAGATCGTCAGACTCAGCCACGACCTGACCTATTTTTTCTGTTCCTTATACCTGCTAAGACAAGAGTTCTATGAGAAGGGATCAGTTTACACCTCAGATGAACTGAGAGGTTACCCTTCGTTCCATGTCTTTAGGGGAGAAAAATAAAACGAGCGCTCAGTGACGTGGGGTCATTGCCAAATCCCTCAAATACCCCTCATTGCCAAGGTCTGGTGTTTCCCATTAGCTGGTTCCAATAAGCT